GAACATGACACATGAGAAAAAAAGCAAAAAGTAAAAAAAAATGGTAAACAGTTTAATCTCTATCAAAAGGTACATCAAGGATGTCCTATTTACTGATTAAAGAATTGTATCACCCATTTTTTTTTTTTTTTTTTTTAAAGATTCTATCTGAGAGAGTTACAGACACAGAGAGGGAGAGACAGAAAGCTCTTCACTGGCTGGTTCACTCCCCAGATGGCTGCAACGGCCAGAGCTGAGCTTGATCTGAAGCCACGAGCTTCTTTTGGGTCTTCCACATGGGTATAGGGGCACAAGAACTTGGGCCACTTTCCACTGCTTTCCCAGGTCATAGCAGAGAGCTGAATTGTAACAGGAGCAACCAGGACATGAACCGGCACCCATATGGGATCCTGGTAACACAGGAGGAGGCTTAGCCTGCTATGCCACAGTGCCAGCCCCTATCACCCATCTTTAAGAATACTTTTAGTAAAGCTAAAGACAAGAAAAGAAATAAAAGTTAAATCATATGAAGAGAAAACAAGAAATTAAATGTCACAGACAAGGGAATGGATTAAGAAAAAAGAGTGGTATATTAAATACTTTTATATATATAAGCATTAAACAAAGAAGGCTGGAAGAATATAAACCCTTTTTATCGTAGTGGAGTGGAGGATAAAGAGAAGATATGGGACTAAGGATAGTGGTCCAAGGGAACTTTATCTGTAATATTACTAATTTTTACACACACAGATGGAAGCAAATTTAACAGTTAATGGTTTTTAATTGCAAGTATTGATCTAAAACTGTCGAAACTTATAGTAATACGATTAAGAAAAAGATGTCACAGAGAATCTGAAACTGACAAAGAGTGTGAAATTGCTTTAATAGAAACTAAGAGATGGTTAAATAAGTCAGAACTATACGTATGCTATTATCAGAATATACTTTCCCTAGTCTCCAAAGAGATATAAACATCTGTAGCTAACACCCTCACAGAGTGGAGACTCTAATTCACTTGCTGCTGTAGGAGTGGGGAGGGGATGGAGGGAAGTGCACAGGTCTCCCTGTACTCCCATCTAATTGTTTCAGAGACACTTTGGTTACATTCTTTACCTACTTATTAGGTGCAGATAAGCAATTAAGCGATGCAAAACAACCTCAACAAATTCCCAAGAATCTATTGTGAGATGGGAGGAGCAACAGTCAAGTTTCAGCAATCTGAGCCTTCAAATGTGGCATCCATTCCTACAGTATGTTAACAAGTTCTTTGTATTTTAATCTATGCATTGAATTCCAGCTTTGAGAGATTTAAGAGAAAAATGACAAAGTAGATGGTAACAGAAAAAGCAAAACATAATAGATTCCTTGTTAACAAAGTATAGCAAAGAAAGAAAGAGAAGTTGACTAACATTCAAAGGACCTGATATAAAGAGTCTGGATTTATAAGTGGGTATAATTTCAAGGCAATGATATCTGTGTCCCAAAAATCATTCATGAAACTAAAAAAGCCACTCTCTCTTGCTACAACTCTCAAACAATTGTTTTACTGCAGTAACTTTAAAAAGATTTAAATAATAAATTTACTTAAGTTATTTATTGTTTAAAAAAATGAAAAACAAAAATATATATACCTATTACACTGGTGTACTCCTCTGACCTACAAACAGGACAGTAACCAAATTTATCGAGATCAACAAAGAGCTAAACTAAAGTTAGTTATTTGTGGGGCCGGCTCTGTGGCGCAGAGGGCTAATGCCCTGGCCTGAAGCGCCAGCATCCCATATGGGCACCGGCTCTAGTCCCGGCTGCTCCTCTTCTGATCCAGCTCTCTGCTATGGCCTTGGAAAGCAGTAGAAGATGGCCCAAGTCCTTGGGCCCCTGCACCCACGTGGGAGACTCGGAAGAAGCTCCTAGCTTCGGATCGGCACAGCTCCAGCCGTTGTGACCAATTGGGGAGTGAACAGTGGATGGAAGACCTTTCTCTTTCTCTCTCTCTCCCTCCCTCTCTCTCTCCTTCTCTCTCTGTGTAACTCTGACTTTCAAATAAATAAAAACATCTTTAAAAAAAAGTTCTTTGCAAAGAATAAAGTAATTTGACTTCAGTTGTTAGTAAGTTGCCACCAGCCTAAAAACCCTGAAATTAGATTGTGGTATAAATTGAATATGCTATTAATGTTACAACTAAAATAGTCTTCATTTTGACAGTTTATAGAACACAAACATCACTAAAATTTAAAATCCAGGACATTTTCCTTATGCTCAATACTATCTACCAATTGTTTAGAATGGTATTGGGCATATGTGGGACTCAGTGTAAATAAATCCAGTAAACACAAATGTTTAATAATTAACTCACTATAAAATACACAACTTTTATCCTAGAAGCAACATAACACTATACTATGCATATTTCTTTAATCTTCACAAAAATAAAACCAGCATTGAAGAAAACTACACATCTGAGCTAAATTCTGTTCTAAAGATCAAGCTGAGGAGAAGCTAAATTCATGAAAAGAATTCTAGCCCTAGTAGGCTGACATATTTTAGTCTGTTGGGCCTGTCAGTATTCTTCAAATGAACCACATTATTTTTGGATTCAATTTCCATGTAGGACCAGCCCAAATGAAGATGGCTGTAAATATGAAGGAGATGGGGGAAAATTGCCATCTTGGTTACACCAGTCTTAAGTACCTATTGTCTGCCTATCATTTATGAATTGTGTTTTACAAAGATGCACATTCTCATCTTACAGAACCCTGTGGGGACAGATAGTTCCATTTTACAAATAAAGATATAAATGGCCCCAGAAGCTAAATCCAAAGTCACACAACTAATGAATAGCAAGATTAGATGTTTAAGATTTCCCACTGGAGTGAACCTGCAGATGGAAGACCTCTCTCTCTGCCTCTCAAATAAATAAATGAATCTTAAAAAAAAAAAAAAAATCCCATTCTCAAGACCAAGCTATTTTTATTAAACCATACTACCTCTTAGGTTTAGGGCAGTTGTCCTCAGTGACAGCAAAAACATCCAGGCTTTTGAAAATATAAAATATAATTCCACTTTTCAATAAATATTTAAAAAAAAAGAAAAAGAAAATATAGACAGCCAGTCTCTACAGAAATTTGTGATCTCATTAGTCTTGGGCAGGGTCCAAGCATCTATCTATATTTTAAAATGCTTCTCCAGTAATTCTAACATGGAGCTGGGTTGCAAACTATTCAACTAGACAAGAGAAGTCTTTGCAAGTCACATTAAGAATCTACCTTGAGGTACATTAAAAAGGTATTAAGATAAGAGTAAGCCAGTGCCTCAGTAAATGGCAGCCACAATTTCTAAATTCTCTGTTGAGAAAGTTTAAATGCCTCTCCAGCACTCCTTGGCTTCTTTTTACTTTTATGGAAGTGTCCAAAGGACATGTGAAAAGCCAGGTCAACTTTTGGATGTTAAGATCGTTTTAAAAACTCACTATGTGAAAGTCAAAGCAGGAGGCTCTCAGACGGGAGTGGGGGGGGGTCACAAAATACCTTGTCTGGGGATCAGGATTCTAATTGGAATCTAATTGAAATTGACAGGTGCAGGAGGTGGGGGTCTTCTCTGGGCATGTGTCAGTATGCCACAATTTGCTTGGATCCTAAATTATACTGAACAGAAAACCTGGTGTATTATAAGACACCAATTCCTCCTCCCCTCACTCCTTTCCCCCACCAACTGGAGAAACGACAAGTTCATACAACAAATAGTTCCTGATTACCTGCTGAATAACAGGCAAACAATGATTCAATATAAACACCGAGTATATTTCTGCCCTCCAGGAGTTGGTATACCGCAAAAAAAAAAAAAAAAAAAGGTGGTCAATATCACTGTTACAACATTGACCTGCCCCAAGGCTAGAGTCATCACCAGTCTCCCAGCAGAAGAAACCTGTGCGGCACGATAGAATCTGGACGTCTCAAAAATCCCAAGATTTAAAGAAAATGTCTGTCACTCTGGGAGGAGGTGTCCTCGGGTGATCTGTGTTCTGGGCATGGCGTTTAACTGGGTGTAATCTCAATGAGGGGCAGCCGTTCATTCAACACCTTACAGTAGGATCTTTCCCCAGTACCAAGAGTAGCGCCACCTGCTTAATACGGAGGCAAGCGCTGTTAATTGAGAGTTGTGAGCAACCACAAATATCATGAATTAGTCTGTACAAGTAGCTAGGACAAAGAACGAAGACTTGGCCAGGGGGTTAAAGGGGACTTGGGAGACTCCAAAAACTCATGGTGGAGCCCAAGCCCCAGAATTTGGACAGCAGAGGGCGGTGCAACCGACCTCGCACAAAGAGCTTTTCTGACTGGAGGCCTCCAGGAGTGGGCAAATGGCCCCAGTAGACGCTCAAACTTTCTCAGCGAACTCAGCGATCACAAAGCGTACTAAGTGTTCGTGTCCGACTCAAGTGGCCGTTTTCCATAACCTCTACCCTGGTCTGACCGTTAAAGCTCCCTTGCGGATACTCTGACCTTACAGCTTGGGGGTGGGGATGGGAAGGAATGAAACCAACCTATCAGGCTTTCCCAAAGAATGCTTATCCTCGGCTTTGGGGGGGAAAGGCTTCGAAATCGTTCCGGGGGTGATTCCCCCGAAAGACAACGTGGTTCATCTTGTTGGCGACATTGCTGACAAACACTGTAGAACATAGTTCAAGGGTGGGGGGGGAGGGGGAGGAGGATGGGGAGGGGAGGGTCATAAACAGAAAAAGAAACTGAGAAACTAATGCTATGGGTTAACTCCAGCACTTCAGATCCGTGTTCCAACACAACCAGACGCCGCGTCCTAAGTTTCACTCTCAAGTCTACGACCCCGGCCGCTCTCCCCCACCCCCCCATACAGACTCCAAACTTTCTGCTCTCCTTATGGCCCCCGGCCGCAGAACTCCTCCCGGCACGCGGGACTCCGCTCACGAAAAGTCTCGAGGCCAGGATCGGGCAGGGCCAGGGCGAAGGTCGGCGGCTCCCGCCCTCCCCCAAAGCTGTCCGTACCTGTCCAGCATCTGCTGTAGGGCTTGGTCCGGCATCTTCCGCGGAGCCGGCGCACTCGGCCCTCCCCGGCGGACCCGTCAGGGCCAGGCCCAGGGACAATAGCACTGAGAGGCGGCGGAGTAGGCCTCAGTCCGGCGGCAGCCGCGAACCCGCCACCCAGCCTCCCGGGGCGGCTCCGAGAGCCCGGCGGCGGCAGTGCGCGGCCGGCGGGCGTCCGGAGGAGGCTGTAGGGAGTGAGGAGGAGGAGCCTGGGGCTGGGAGGCGGCGATCGCGGCCCGGGTTCCTGCCCGTCGGCCCAGGGTTCCGGTCCATGGACCGCGGGCGTCAAGTTGCTGCCGGCGGAGGAGCTACCTCTGTGAGGTAAGAGTCACCGCCTCCGTGCGCGCCGGGGTCACGACGCAGGGCGGCCCAGAGCAGCCTGGGAGATGTAGTCCTCGGATCATCCCCGTTAGAGGCTGCACAGCCCGCCCCGACCACCGCCGCGCCCGCCGCCGCCCGGCCGGCGCCCTCCCGTTTCCTTCCTCCAGGGGGAAAAAATGTCCTTCGGGTCGCTTTCCAGGAAGCAGCAGGATGTGCCGCTCCACTGTCAGTAGCAACAAGGTCAGCCCTCCTGTCTGTCTCTCTTTCCCTCAGCTCTTGCCCTCAGGTGGGACCCGAGCCAGGTGAGGGGAGGGGGTTGGAGGGCCAGTTCCTCGTTAGGGTCCCCAGCTCTCGGCCGCGGCTGTCCAGGCCGGCCTGGGCGGCGGTGGGGAGGAGAGAAGCTCCTTCGGAAGCCCCCAGCGCTGGGGCCAGCTTCTCCCGCGTCACAGCCCATTTTGGGGGAGTTACACAACCCCCGCAAGGAGGGGGGGGTCAGATGCTGTGGTGCGCACGGTTATTCCCGAGGGGGCGGCCGGGCAGGGGCTGCCTTGTGCCCCGGCGGCTTCCACCTGAGCCTGTGGGTGTGTGCTGGGGGTGGGGCGGAGAGGTGTTTCTCGCCCTCTCTAGGAACCTTTAGAATATGTCTGGGCTCTCGTAGGGTTCGCTGACGGTCTCCAGAAGGAACAAGTTCGTGAATAAACAGCTCTTGCTTACTCAGCTGTGGGTTGTCAGGGATGTTTGTTTTCTCTCTGCTGCTGGTCACTGTTAACCATTTCTAGTGTCCTTGACACCACCACGCAGGTGGATTGCAGGGGGTGGGGATCAGCAGAGAGCAATCGTAAATCTTTGGTTGGGTTGTTCTTTGCCGCTCCAGGGTTAGCTTTAGCGGGAGGTGAGAGCTGTTGACTGAAACGAACGCGTATTTGGACGACCTGTGGCGCTTCAGTGTTGTGACTGGTAGGACATGTGGTAGTGTTTCTGTTTCCTTGATTATGCCTAATTTCTGCTGCTGCAAGGTGTTTGCTTTTTCTTTAAATGCTAATATGTAAATTCAGAATGTAGAATTTTACAAGCAGTAAAATTAACGATCTGTTCACAGTTTGTTCTCTGAATATATTTGATCTAGTCTGTACCGTGACTAGAAAAACAACAGCAACACGTGACCAGTTTATTTGGCCTCCAGTTCCTGAAATGTGCTTTCATAAAAGGCTTTGGGAAATTAAAGAATGAGTACTTCACCCTTTCTTCATGATATGAGCAACAGGCCCATCGTAGGGAAGGAAAATGAGTATTTCCCTTTAATGAGCTTAATTGGGATGTCTAATATTTAAAAAAATTTTTTTTGCTCCGCGTACTATGTAAACCTTTAATGTGTATTTGTGTTTTAAGCAATTAGCAGCCACAAGGAATAGGATATATCTATATACTTCTTGCTTAAAAATGGAAGTTTAACCTAGTAGGTTGATTAAATAGACTAGTGCAGACTCCTTTTCGCTTTCTGATTTTCATTAACAGGAGTTCTCACCTCATTTTAGATTCCTTGTGGACCTTGAATTGGAAAGTACCATACAATTCCGTGATAGCAGAATCTTATTACACCAAAAAATGATGTTTGCACTATGAAAAGTCAGTTTCCTGGCTGTGTCAAGCCCTTTGAAACTTAAAAAGAAAAAAAGTTGCTCATCTTGGGAGAGAATAAGCTGCTGCCTAACCCAGCAGTCCACTTCTGAATGTCTCCCATGAGAAATGGAAGCATTTCTACGCAGAGACTTGTTGTGAATGTTTACAGCAGCATTATTCCTAAGAACCAAAAAGTGGGGAAAACCCAAATATCCACCAAGTGATCAATGAATAAGACACATGCAGCATATCCATTCAGTGGAAATTTGCTACTTGATAACAAGGGATGAACTTTTTTTTTTTTTTTTTTGACAGGCAGAGTGGATAGTGAGAGAGAGAGACAGAGAGAAAGGTCTTCCTTTTGCCGTTGGTTCACCCTCCAATGGCCGCCACGGCTGGCGCGCTGCGGCTGGCACACCGTGCTGATCTGAAGGCAGGAGCCAGTACTTCTCCTGGTCTCCCATGGGGTGCAGGGCCCAAGCACTTGGGCCATCCTCCACTGCACTCCCTGGCCATAGCAGAGAGCTGGCCTGGAAGAGGGGCAACCGGGAAAGAATCCGGCGCCCCGACCGGGACTAGAACCCAGTGTGCCGGCGCTGCTAGGTGGAGGATTAGCCTATTGAGCTGCGGCGACAGCCCAAGGGATGAACTTTTGATACATGCTGTAACATAGGATAATCTTGAAAACGTGATACTAAGTAAAAAGAGTGCGTCACACCAACTCTGTATATTGTATGATTCACACCAACTCCATATATTGTATGATTCCTTTTATGTGAAATGTTTAAGAGTAGGCAAATCTGGAGCTGGCATTTGGCATTGTGCTTAAGACTGTGATATCAGAATGCCTGGTTTGAGTCCTGGCTCAGCTTCCGATTTCAGCATCATACTAATGTGCATCCTGGGAGGCAGCAGGTGATGGCTCAAGTACCTGGGGCCCTGCCACCCATGTGGGAGATCTGGATTGACTTCCAAGCTTCTGAGCTCAACCTGGCACTGGTTCAACTGTTGGGGGCATTTGGGAAGTGAACTAACAGATGGAAGATCTCTGTCTGCCTTTCAAATAAAAATAAGTAATTGAAAAAAATTTTTAAAAAACAAATCACTAGAGACAAAAAGTAGATTAGTGACTGCATAGGGCTGAAAGAGTTGGGGAAAAATGGAAATGACTGCTAATGAGTATGAGGTTCCTTTCTAGAGTGATGATAGTATTCTAGAATTTGTGGTGATTTTATGTAACTTTGTGAATTTTGTCAAAATTAAGAAACTAAAATAAAGCAAAATTAGATTATGATAGTGGTACAGCTCTGTAAACATACTTAAAAATCTCATTCAGTTGTATACTTAAAATAAGTTGGTTTTTAACATATCCAAAGTACATCTCAATAAAGCTCTTAAAACGCCACTAAAAATGTTCGTAAGGACATAAGAGAGAAATATATAACATAACTTTTTTAAAAGCTTCATTTATTTATTTATTTGAAAGAGTTATAATGAGGCAGAGAGAGAGAGAGAAAGAGAGAGGGAGAGAATGTCTTCCATCCTCTGGTTCACTCCCCAAGTGGCTGCAATGGCTGGAGCTGGGCCAATCCGAAGCCAGGATCCAGGAGCTTCTTTCCAGTCCCCTGTGTGGGTATAGGATCCCAAGGACTTGGGCCATCTTCCATTGCTTTCCTGGCACATTAGCAGGGAGTGCATTGGAAGTGGAGAAGCAAGGACTTGAACCTGCATCCATATGGGATGCTGACCCTGTAGTTGGCGGCTTTACCCCGTAACACCACAGCACCGGCTCCAGCTGATAACTCTGTCAAACTTTTTTTTTTATTACTGTGGGAAAAAAAATCATGTCTGGTAAACTTCACAATGTAAATCAATATTTGCATTTAAAATGGCGACGTGTGAATTTCAATGTAATATGTCAACTTTGTTTTTAATAGATTCTTGCACTTTCCAGTAAGACTAAGAATAGTTTGAATGTTTACTCTCTGACAATGAAGGGAAAAACTCTTAAGTAAATATTGAAAACTTAGTCTGACCAAAAAAAAAAAAAAAAAAAAGTTGTAATGCACTTCTGCATTTTAGATAGGGTTGAATGTTTATAGAAACTGATATTCAGTCAGTGGAATGATCAAAATAGCTAGAGTCCTCTTCCCCAACTTTGCCTTAGAGATATATTTTGAAGCTGGCGCCGCGGCTCACTTGGCTAATCCTCTGCCTGCGGCACCAGCACACCGGGTTCTAGTCCCGGTTAGGGTCCCGGATTCTGTCCCGGTTGCTCCTCTTCCAGGCCAGCTCTCTGCTGTGGCCTGGGAAGGCAGTGGAGGATGGCCCAAGTGCTTGGGCCCTGCACCTGCATGGGAGACCAGGAGGCAGCACCTGGCTCTTGGCTTTGGATTGGCGCAGTGTGCCGTGCATAGCGACCATTTGGGGGGTGAACCAACGGAAAAAAAAGGAAGACTTTTCTCTCTGTCTGTCTCTCTCTGTCTAACTCTGCCTGTCTAAATAAATAAATAAGAGATATATTTTGAAATACAAACTAATCCACTGAAATTATGTAAGTAGTCTCTGGGTTTCAGAGGACAAGAACAAAGGTTGATATTGTGGAGTTATCCTAAAGAGTTATGGAATATTTTGTATGGCCTTTTCTTTATTTTTTTAACAGGCAGAGTTAGACAGAGAGAGCAAGAAAGAGAGAAAGGTCTTCCTTCCATTGGTTCACCCACCAAATGGAGCCAGATGCTTCTTCCTGGTCTCCCATGCGGGTGCAGGGCCCAAGCACTTGGACCATCCTCCACTGCCTTCCCTGGCCACATCAGAGAGCTGGCCTGGAAGAGGAGCAACCGGGACAGAATCCGGGACCCCAACTGGAACTAGAACCTGGGGTGCCGGCGCCGCAGGCAGAGGATTAGCCTAGTGAGCTGTGGCGCCGATCACCTTTTGTAAATATGTCAGAAATCTTATTTTTAATTTTTTAAAGACTTTATTTATTTGAGAGGTAGAGTTAACAGACATTGAGAGGGAGAGACAGTGAGAAAGGTCTTCCATCCACTGGTTTACTCCCGAGTTGGCCGTAATCGCTGGAGCTATCTGAAGCCAGGAGCCAGGAGCTTCTGGTTCTCCCACACAGGTACAAGGGCCTAAGGACTTGAGCCATCTTCTACTGCTTTCCCAGGCCATAGCAGAGAGCTGGATTGGAAGAGGAGCAGCCTAGAACTGTATGGGATGCCAGCGCTACAGGTGGAGGATTAACTTATTGCGCCACAGCGCTGGCCCCCAGAAACTTTAAAACAGTGTTACCTTAATGTTCTTACATTGCACTTGTTTTTTTTTTTTTTTTTTTTTTTACGATGTATTTATTTATTTGAAAGTCAGAGTTACACAGATAGGGAAAGCAGAGAGAGAGAGAGAGAGAGGTCTTCCATCCGATGGTTCACTCCCCAGTTGGCCGCAACTGCTGGAGCTGTGAGCCAGGAGCCAGGCTTCTTCCAGGTCTCCCATGAGGGTTCAGGTGCCCAAAGACTTGGGCCATCCTGTACTGCTTTCCCAGGCCATAGCAGAGAGCTGGATAGGAAGTGGAGCAGTCAGGTCTCAAACCGGCGCCCATATGGGATGCCGGCACT